GGCCAGGGATCACACATCCCGTCCTCGATCCTTGATGGTACAAATTCCCCTGTTCCAGTCCCCAATCCCCGATGGGGAACCTATCATCGTCCCCATCTCCACCCCCGTCTCCTAATGCGGATCGGGGTTCCCCGACCTCGAAAATTCCTTAGCCAAAAAAACAAAATCAGTGAATGAAGATCCAAATCCAAAACACAGATCCAATTGAAGACCAATTCAACAATTTGTGAGATCCAAATCCAAATCAGTGAATGAAGACCTATTCAAACAAAACACAAATCCAAAACCAAACACAATTTGTGAGAGACATAATATCACAACAAGATCATCATCTTCCAGATCTGACACTATTCAACAAATCTAACATTATTCAAATCTAAAAATTTGTGAGCCGAAATGTCTAAAAAATACAAAAATTCAAAAAAAAAAAAAACATTTAGATATGTTAAAAAAAAAAAAAAAGATCTGAATCCATATATTTATATTTATATATATATAAAGATCAAGATTTTTTTTAAAAAAAATAAAAAAAATCATAGATCTATTCAAAAAATCATAGAACCATGGCAGAGTAGAAGTAGATCTTGGTCTCCATGGCAGAGTAGATCTTAATCAGGACGATGTTGGGATGCTTCACCATCGTCATCACCGAGATCTCATGAATTAGTCCTACAGCTCAGCTAACGGTGAAACCGACTGAAGATGGCGGCCTGCGGTGGCGGAGGAAGCGTCATCGGCAGTCGAAAGGATGTACTTGAGATGCTTCTTCAATGGCTTATAACAGAGGAACTTTGTATCAGATAACACCATGCCTATGTTTGGGAAGTAGGTTTTGGGGCTTTTTTGACTAAAATAGCCATAAAAAATAAAATAGGCTTTTTAGCCCAATAAGATAAAACATCACATCCAACTTATAATCATTACATTCTTCCTCTTACAAAAAAAATCAAAAAAGTCAAAAGCCTTTCCCAAACCAAACTTTTTAGCCCCAGGCTAAAATAGCCAAAAAAGTCAAAAAGTCAAAAAGTCAACTCACTTTCCAATCGAAGCCTATCAATAATTATAGAGAGATCGCAGTCGTTGTCGTTGCCGATCGAAGTACCACATTTTGAGCTATTATAGAGATAAAGGGAAATAAGGGAGGGAGAGAGAGAGAGAGACTCTGAGTGAGTGAGAATGAGGGAGAGAAATGAGAGACGATGAGGAAGAGAGAGAGAGAGAGAAAAAAAAAAAAGGGAGAGAAAGTAGATATAATATGAAAATAGATGAAATGAGAGAGAGAGAGAGTACATCAGAAAGTATATATATGTATATATATTACTTTGGGGACAAACGGGGCCGGGGCCGAGGCTTGGACACTTATCGTTGTCCCCGACTCGAAATTGATCGGGGATTGATTTTTAATACCATCTCTGTCCTGTCAGTGATATTTTCAGAAAAAAAACCGTTTAAATCGGGGTCGGGAGGTCAAGTCCCCATCAAGTCGGTTTCAAAATACCATCCCTAGTTGGGATAAGATGAAAAACATTTTTTTTTTTGGTAAAGGACACAAAACAAAGTCTCCTCATTTGTGCTGCAATGGAGAAATTAAAATTGTATTTAGATTATAAATTTTAATAGAAATTCAGAATAGAAAAAATAAGAGAAATGTGAATGAAATAAAACTAATTTTTTTTTCTTTCTAAATTTTTATCTAAATTCATGATCTAAACATAGTATAAGTGAGTCATCTCTTATTGTTAGGATTAGTGGGTTTGTTTCCAATTATTCAAACTATTTATTTTGAAATATGTATTATGTACTAGAAAGTATCTATTAGGAATTGATTTTTATATATTTTTTTTTTTTGAAAAAATGTGTGATAAAATAGAAAAATAACATGGTAACTTATAATAATTTTTTAACTAAAAATAAAAATTCCCAAATAGATCTATATCAAATAATCGAATTGTATTTGTTTTAAAAAATAAAATAAATTTTTCAATAAGTAATGTTAAGTAATTATCGGAATCCATACTACCCAACATAACTTTTTTTTTTTTTTTGGGTACGGAGGATTACCCGACATAACTTTGTATCATCCTTTTATTATTCAAATTATATTACGGCCTTGTTTGGTTTGTTTTGCAGAAAAATTTTTAAAAAAAATTCTCTACAAATAAATTTTCAAGAGTAATTAAATCAATCAAATTTTTTCAAAAAAAATTTCAAAATTTTTTTTAGTTATCTATTTTTCAAAATCACTCTCTCTCTCATACACATCAAATCGATCGCTTTTTTTAAAACTCTCTTCTCAAAATAATTTTTCAAAACGATTTCTGAAAAAAGACAAACCAAACAAATTTTTATACTTTTTATCTTAAAAATTACTTTACAAACACAAACCAAACACACCTAACATTTGCCACAAAATCATTTGAACCCAATTGGTACAAAAACAAAAATCATTTAAAAATCATAAATTACAAAAACAAATAAAAAATCATTTTAAAAAAAAAGGTCGACATGAGTACGAAACAATCCCGCTAAATCGGGGCCTGATAATGCAGAAACCAGATAACACTGTTCATGTCCTTATAACATCATTACGTTGTGTTTATTAGAAATTTAAAAAAATAAAAAAATAAATAAAATTAAATAAAATGTGAATAAAATATATTAATATTTTATCAAATTTTATATATCGCTTTTTTTTTATTTTTAAATTCCTTTCTAAATCTCTCAACAAAAAAAAAAAAAAAAAAAAAATTCATTTTACTTCCTTGAAACAAAGGGGTGTTTTGGAAAGGGTTTGGTTTTGGTCCAGTCCACCATCGGACTGGACCGTGCTGTTGGGCCTGTAAGGGTCCACCACGAGTTCCGTTTTGAAAATCTGAAACGTTCAATATGTAGAACTCTTTGAGTACTGTATGCTTGTAAAAAATCACGTTGATCGAATATCGATAGCTATGTAATCAAATCAATTTTTTTTCAACCGTTAATTTATTCACCGTCCATTTTTTTTATACAAAACTGCTTTGATCACATAACTATCGATATCCGATCAACGTGATTTTTTACAGGCATATAGTACTTGAAGAGTTTTACATATTCAACGGTTCAGATTTTTAAAACGGGACCTGTGGTGGGCCTCCACGGACCCAACAACATGGTCCAGTCCGATGGTGGACTGGACCAAAGCCAGACCCTTTGGGAAAAATGGTAAAAAGTGACTTCTTGATTTTTAACGAAACTTTTGACATTTTTAGAAAAATAATTATGGAAGTTAGTAAAAAATTACTTTTGACTTTTTTTATTAATATTTGTTTATGATGTCAAATCACAATGAAATGTCTAAACTACTCCCATTCAATTTAAAATATTTACTACTTCACCCATATAATATATTTTGACTCATGAGAGGTAAAATTATAATTTTACCAATGGCTAAAAACTAACTTTTCATGTCTTTAAATACAAAAAAACTAACTTATAGCTTTTGCTGTAAACTCAAAAAAGTGACTAACTTAGCCTCCGTTTGGGAAGTGGGTTGACTTTTTTGCTTTTTTATTTTTTTTGGCTATTTTAGCCTAGGCTAAAAAGTTTGGTTTGGGAAGGAATTTTTGACTTTTTGGCATTTTTGATTTTTTTTTGTGAGAGAAGAGTATAATGTTATGAGTTGGATGTGATATTTTATTTTTTGTGGCTAAAATAGCTTATTTTGTCTTTTGTAACTAAAATAGCCAAAAAAACCCCGTTTAGCTCTTCCCAAATGAAACTCTCCTACTCCATCTGGTGTGTCATAATGGTTTGAAAGCAACTGCGGTAGATGAACAATAACGGTGGTACTATATATATCAATTGATATATTAATTAATATATTAATATATGTTATGATATTATTACTGACTTCATACATTATACAAATTATAAATACTCAAAACTTCTAAAATTATGTTATATCATCTGTTAGTATATTAATTGATATACCAATTAATGAATATAACATTATTCAAACAATAATAAATGAAATGAGACTACGGTAATTGCGTGATCGGGAAATGATTTGGAGCCCTAAAAAAGTCTTTCCTAATTCCCCCTAATCCTCAAAACGACGTCGTTTTGGGGATTATTTTTTTTTATTTTTTTTTTTATTTTTTTTGCCTTGGTCTCAATTTTTGGGGGATTAGGATTCTCAAATTAGGGGATGTAGCACGGCACTTGCGTGATCAATAGTTCTACGTAGCAAAAATAGAACGAAAATACACAGAATTCACTTGGAGGAAGAGAATTTTTCAAATGAGATGACTCGCGTACCATGGCAATTGTGTGATCAAATAATTTTATAGACATAAAAACGTAATACATAATTCGTGCACAAAATTCACTTGGACAATAGGATTTTTCGAAAGGATTTTTCGAAAGTGATGAAATATTATTCTTTCGCATGAATTTTGCGTCTGTTTTTAAGCATAGGCAAGTAGATCCGCCGCCTAAGACTTCCAAATTTTTGTTAAAATTTAGCAACAAAAAAAAATAAAATAAAATTAATAATAATAATCATTATATTAGGCCCATTGTATTTACTTATTACAGGTTTAGATCATTTTTTTTTTCTATTATAAAATAGATTTTGTTAGTTATAAGTAAATTTAATTTTAGTAGTTATATGTGAAAGTAAATTTTAATTTTTTGTTTTCAATATATAAAAGGTCCCATCATAGGGGTTTGTCGACAGTGGCGGAGCTCGGAATTTAATATAAGGGGGTACCTATTAATTATAATCTCAAAATTTTTCTTTCCTAATCAATAACTATAATATAATAATAATTTTTCGAGCTAATAGTAAGCATTAAAAATTAATATTCATTACAAAAAGTTTTTAATTTTAAACTTTTAAATTGTCTCTGACGAGTTTTCATCTTTTGAAATCTTTCCATGATAGTATCATTGTCAATGCCATCAAAAATATCTCTCTCAATGTAGACAACCAAGTTATCATTCATCCATTCATCACACATTCAGTTCCGCAACCGATTCTTCACAATATTCATAGCTGAAAATACCCTCTCAACAGTAGCAGTTGCAACTGGTAAGATTAATGCTAAAGTCAAGAGCAAATACACCAATGGATATACTTTGTCTCTTCTAATCTCTACCATTTTCTTAACAAGATTGGCAATTCCATTCTACATTAAGAACTCACTACTGGATAGCATGTCGATAATATATGTATTAAGTTGATCATTAAGTACCATGAACTCCATTGAAAAAAATTCTTTAGGATAAAATTCAACAAGATGAATTAACTTTTTTCTGTCAAAACTAGAAAAAGAGTTAGATGGATTCAAACATGCCACACAAAGTAACAACTCAGTGTTCGACTTAGTAAAACGAGCATTTAGTTCTTTGAATTTGCATATCCAAAACAGTATTGAATAACTCAGCGCGATAGTGATGTAAGTTTGTAATTTCTTGAGAATTTCGCCTTTTTCTCCCCCGAGCTATAAACATATCATTCATTTGGGGAACATCAATTTCATGCTTTTCACAAAAAAGGCAAAATATCATCAAGTAAAGATGACCACCCACTCTCCCTCATCTTTTGGAGCTGTACTTTAGAAATTTGAACTAAATTCATGGCATTAACAATATCTTGATCTTTCTTTTGTAGTGCTTCACTTGTAATAGCCAATATCGTTTTCATCAAATGAAGGTTGAATACAAACTCAAATAATTGAATTGAGTCCAATAATATATTTGCTTCTACTCGTTGTTCAGAATTTGAACCATCATCCGAAATCATTTCAAGCACATCAATCACTGTTGAAAACATACTAACCAAGCTGACTAAAGTACCATAGTGTGAACCCCAACGTGTATCATTAGCACGTTTAAAATTAGTTTCTTGATTTTAGCCTTGCCCACTAGATAGCTCTCTAGTATTAAGTGCCTCAGCAACTTTTGCAGCTTGCTTCTCCCTAACAATATCTCGGCGTTTACATGATGCTCCAACAACATTCACTATATTAGAAACCACAGTGAAAAGTAAAGCAATTTGATTATGATTCTTTGCCACGGCTACAAGTGTCAATTGCAATTGATGAGCAAAACAATGAACATAATATGTACAAGAATTCTCTTTCAGTATAAGTGTTTTAAGGCCATTGAACTCACCTTGCATATTACTAGCCCTGTCATATCCTTGACCTCGCAATTTGGAAATACTCAATCCAAGTCTGGAGAATAAATTTTCCACAGCTTGTTTGAGTGAGAGAGCATTCATATTAGCAACATGCTCAATACCCAAAAAGCGCTCAATACCCAAAAAGCACTCAATCACTTGGCCTTTTTTGTCAACATATTGTATTACATCTGCCATTTGCTCCTTGATTGATATGTTACGGGCTTCATCAATCAAAACAGAAAAAAATGTATCACTAAGATCTCTAATAATCACATTGATAGTTTCAAATGCGGCCACATTTACAATGTTTTTTCGAATATCAGGAGATGTCAACTTGAGATTTTGTGGAGCATTGCTCAATGTAACCACTTTGACATCTTCATTATGATCAGTAAGAAACTTGAGAAATTCAATAAAATTTCCTTGGTTACTTAAATTTTCAGATTCATCATGCTCACGAAACATAAGTCATTGTCTTAGAAGAAATTTTGACACAATCAACCGATGCATATACTCAATTCGAGCTTGATCAAATTGTTTGAAAAAAAAATCGTTTGAATATGTTAGTTTTGGTTTAACAAGTCTTGACATATTATATCATATTATAATTAAACAAGAAGAACAAGATGGAGTTATGTATATATGTATATATATATATTATAAACTAGATGGAGAAAATTATTTGTTTGTTTGAAAGTTGTGAACTTTGTTTTAAATTATCTACAAAATCGGTGGCTCCATGTTTGAAAAAAACAAGAAGAAAAAATCAATCTTATTTTTATCTTTTTAATTCTTATCATTTGCTGACTATTTAAATTTAAGGAGTGTGCTTATGTAAGCAATGACATCAAGAGCCTGCTTATGTAAGCGATGACATCAGGAGCGTGCTTATATAAGCGATGACGTCAGGAGCGTGCTTATGTAAGCCATGACGTCAACAAAGAGCGTCCAACGGGTATATTTTTGTGTATAAATAGAGGTGTTGGATGTGGAGAAAAAATCAAGAACTTGAAGAGAAAATATTTCTGTGAGCTCCAAAATTCTGAGTATTCTGCTCTTTCACTTTCAGATCTAAGTCTAGCTTTTGTTCTTACACTTTCATATCTACTCTTTGTGAGAGAATTATTGTAAAAGTGGGTTCAATTACCACTTATTCTTATTCCTTATTTTTGTGAGAGATTTTGTAAGGGTAAGGCATTTATTGTTGAGTGAGGTTCAATAGATAAGAGTAAGTCCTGTGCCAAATCCACAAGCTTGGTGGTGTATTTATTCAATTGATAGTAAAGATATTCTCAAGGAGGTTCCTTGGGGAGTGGACGTAGGCTTGGCGTGCCGAACCACTATAAATCGCAGTGTTTGATTTTCTCTCTCTATCTCTTATACTTTTATATTGATAATTATTATTCTGTTTTTTTTATTTATTAAAATTTTGAATATTGTGTTATTTTGAATATTGTGAAATTTTTAATAACCCAATTCACCCCCCCTCTTGGGTTGCCTATCTGGGATAACAATAGTTTCAAATGCGGCCACATTTACAATGTTTTTTCGAATATCAAGAGATGTCAACTTGAGATTTTGTGGAGCATTGCTCAATGCAACTACTTTGACATCTTCATTATGATCAGTAAGAAACTTGAGAAATTCAATAAAATTTCCTTGGTTACTTAAATTTTCAGATTCATCATGCTCACGAAACATAAGTCATTGTCTTAGAAGAAATTTTGACACAATCAACCGATGCATATACTCAATTCGAGCTTGATCAAATTGTTTGAAAAAAAAATCGTTTGAATATGTTAGTTTTGGTTTAACAAGTCTTGACATTTACTCGAAGTTTGATTTTGAACACTATTGGGACCTTCAACATGAGTCTACATTTTTTCTTTTTTCTTTCAATTTGAGAAACCCTCACCAACAAAAGAATCACCACCAGCTTGATCTCCAATATCAGGTTTGAAAAGATAACAACATAAACAAAATGCTGTATCTTTTGCTACGCTATACTCCAACTAATTAGGAAATTCACTAAACCAAGCTTGATTAAATCGCCAAAATTTTTGTCCAAATGATTTTTGTGAAAAATTATGATCATGAGGTTGACAAGGACCTTTTTGTAGATATGCTCTACGAATTTGGTATCGATCATTAACATTATAGTCCATATTCCAAAGCCGTAGTCCTGGATTTGCAAGAAGGTCTACTAAGTTATGCAACTTTATTTTGCGGAAGAATAATTATCATCTTTTTCTTGAGGAAGAGATGATTCCAACTTTGATTTTCTTTTGAAATATTTATCCATGATTGAAAAAACTAAAAATCAAAATAAAAATTCATAATCAAAATCACAAACCCCCACAAATCAAAATTTCTAATTTTAATACAAATAAAAAAATTTAAATTTAGCACAAATCACAACAAATCAAAATTTCTAATTTTAGCACAACTTATAACAAATCAAAATTCCTAATTTAAATATTAATCACTGCAAATTAATATTTTTAATTTTAGCACAAACAACAACAAATCAAAATCCCTAATTTTAATATAAATCACCACCAATTAAGATTCATAATTTTAGCATATCAAAATTTCTTATTTTAACATAAACAATAACAAATAAAAAAATTTTACAAATCAAAAATTAACAAATAACTATAAATTAATACTTATAATTTTTTTTAAAAGTAAAAAATAAATAAATAAAATTACCTGTAAACAATGAAGAGAAGATACCAAGATTATAGTTGTGTGTGTCAATTTCCGACCACACTGCCAAACTGATATTCAGCTGGAGAATACTGGCAGAATAGATTGCCCAAACGACCTGTCACAGAAAAGAAGAGATTCTGGCGGTGGTTCGTCCATCTGGGGGCACTCCGATGATCAAGTCAGTTATCTCTCAAAGATAGCAAAAGTGTTTAACTCACTATTCAGAGCATAAAAAGCATACTTTAAATCCATGAGGTTGCCTCTCTTTTATAGCTAACACAAACCTGATCCTAATAGAAGCCTAGATAGACTTAGGATTACTGCTAATCTTGGACTCCCAGTAGGATTGTGATAAACTCTCTGAGAGTCTTATCTTTACCGAAACTGAAGTCCTATCTCATTCTAGGACTCTTGTCCCTTATTCGCTTATCCCGGATTCGATATCTTCGCAGATAACCTCGGTCTAGCCGAGATGATCTCGGCGTCATGAGTATGACTCGTGGCACCTTGGCTGGCACTTTGGTGACACCTCGGCTACATGTTGTCATTCAAAAATTATGTCCCCACAGTAGTGTAGTTCCAAATTTGTGCTATGTGATCCTAATTTGGTGAATCACGAGTCGGTAAATTGCAAAGCAATAAAGGGAGACAAAAAAGACAAAGAAAAGATAAAGATACTTAATAAGTACGGTGAATAAGGCCAAGTTTGGGAGACTTAAAAAAAGTCAAAAAGTCAAAAAATTACTCAAAAAGTTAAAAAATTAATATTATTCATCAAAAGTCAACAATTACCGCTGCATAACTTCCAATTCTAATTTTCCTCTACAAACTAATTTTTACAATTTTTTATTACACATTTTTCTATAAAAAGTCAAAAAATTAACCAAAATATTCATATTTTTTCTTTCAATTTTTTAGTCTAAAAAAATAAAAAATATACTTATTTAAAACACCTTAAACAATTCCTAAATAAAAAAATTCACACTTTTTTAAAGTTTTAAGTTATGTGTCCGTGTTTGGTTGGGATTGAGATTTAAAAAAAAGGTTGCCGGTGTGCTTACAGTGAACGTGGTTGTGTGATTTGTCAGTGTGTTTGTTGGCACTGTGTGTAAGCAAAAGCAAGACCCAACCAAAAAAGAAGAAAAAAAACGTGGGTGCGCGGTGTGTCAGTGTGTTTGGTTTGGGGTACTGTGTGTGTAAGTAAGAGCAAGACCCAATCCCCCCAAAAAAATAAAAATATTAGTGTATTTAATTTCAATTTTCTGAATTTAATTTTTTAAAAATTAATTTTTTTTTATTTTTAATAAATATTTTTAAAATTTTAAATAATTTTTTTTAGATGTACTTTATTTAGACGTATCTAAATAGTAAAATATTTGTGAAAATATATTTAAAAAATTTAATAAATACATAAAATACGAAAATTGAATTTTCATTTTTTTTGGTATTTAGTATATTTTTTAAAGATTTTTTTTTACAAATATTATACTTTTTAAGTATATTTATGTTAAATGTGTCTAAAAATTTTAAAAAATTGCTTAAAATATAAAAAAAAATTCATTGAAAATATTAAAATATGAAAAATAAAAAAGTAAAATTTTCTAAAAATTATTTTTTGAAAACCAAAACCAAACAACTAATTTTGAAAAGTCAGGAGGTATGTGATCCGCTCGCCCCAACGTCCCTCCGCGACTGTTTGCCGGCCTTAATTTATGTTTCTGTGTGGGTGATTTTCCGACCACACTGCCCGCTTAGTAACCAGCTGGAGAGCACTGGCAGAATAGATAGTACCTGACTAACCTGCAACAGAAATATAAGAATCCCGCGGTGGTTTCGACCACCCGGGGGCACTCCGACGATCAAGTCAGTATATCTCTCAAAGATAAATCAAATACTAAACTCACAAGCTTGAGTATCAAAAGCATACCTTAGACCCATGGGGGTGCCTCTCTTTTATAGCCAATACAATCCTAGTCCCAATAGGAGCCTGGCCCTAATGGACTTAGAACTCGGCTGACACGTCGGCGTCACCTTGCCACGTATCATATGTTGGCTTAACGTTATCTTGTAAATTGCTACAAATTTCAACAAGTGAAGATAATTTACATTCACTATATTAGAAAACCACAGTGAAAAGTGAAAGCAATTGATTATGATTCTTTGCCACCGGCTACAAGTGTCAAATTTGCAATTGATGAGCAAAACAATGAACATAAATATGTACAAGAATTCTCTTTTCTCAGTATAAGTGTTGTTAGAGCATTGAACTCACTTTGCATATTACTGCCCTGTCATATCCTTGACCTCTGGCAATTTGGGAATACTCAATCAAGTCTGGAGAATAATTTTCCAAGCTTGTTTTGAGTTGAGAGAGCATTCATATTAGCAACATGCCTCATACCAAAAAGCGCTCATAACCCAAAAAGCCTCAATCCTTGGCCTTATTTGGTGTTCCAACAATATTGTATTACATCTGCCATTGCTCCTTGATTGATATGTACGGAGGCTTCATCAAAATCAAAACCAGAAAAAATGTATCACTAAGATCTCTAATAATCCACATTGATAGTTTCATGCGGGCCATTTACAATGTTTTTTCCGAATATCAAGGAGAATGTCAATTGAGAAATTTTGTGGAGCATTGCTCAATGTAACCACTTTGACATCTTCATTATGATCAGTTAGAAAACTTGAGAAATTCAATAAAATTTCCTTGGTTACTTAAATTTTCAGAGATTCATCATGCTCACGAA